TCGCAGGGGGCACCTAGCGCGACAAGTGTCCGCAGGTGGCAACCCCGCCGTGGCAGGTTGGCTTGAACTGACACCCAGAAAAAAAGTCTCGTCTTGGCCGACCGGTTGTGAAATTAAAAAAACGCGCAATCACGCCACGCTGGCACCGATGTTGCCGGCTGGCTTCGACAGAACCTCCTTTCTTTTCCTATTACAAAAAAAATACATAGAAATACACGCCACTTAATAGCCTGCCTATGCGGTTAAATTTGTGTGTTCTTATTTACCAGTAGTTGGGTGTAAAAATATATATGATGCTCCTGTTAGCATAGACTTGGCCGGTGCACACACACTTAGACGAAAAACGAACCACGTGGGTTGTAATTTTCCGTTTGTATTCTATCTCGGCAGCAGCCTTGCGTCCGTTTTCATTCAAAGTTTTAAACGAAGTGAACGAGAACTTTTGACGCGAGAAGTTGGCTGTACGCTGCGGCGTTGCTAAGCACACCTAACGGGATCTTTCCAGATTCTGTTCTCCATTCTGCCTTCACACGTTTTCGGTGCGCGAGAGAAAGAGATTCTGTTATGCTGACAGACTATACGTGTAAGCGGGTCATGTCCATGTGTACATGAAGATGACCCAGCCTGGACAAAATTGAAATCCATTCCACGATATTATCCTTGCAGAACGGAAAAAATAAAATATGGCCAAGCGGTGAGGCTTCTCCGTGTGGCAGCATTACGAGTTGCTCCACTCTTTCCTAGGCGCATACCGCATCCACAATATGGAGCAGAGAACCTTGGAGAACGAGAGTGTGTCCCCAGACTTATATTTGTGGTTTAAGATTAACTGAAATACTTTATTTATTGCAGATATTAGGGAATACTTTGTGGAGGTCTTAGATGTGGACCCCAATGACAGGAAGACAGCACTGCACCCCCTGCTAAACGCGCAAGGGTGGACAACAAGACCGAGCTTGTGGAAATTGCTCGAGAAAGGTTGAAGATGCAGAGGGCGAAGACGCAAACCATGTCAGGGATGGCAGTCAGCCAAGCTAAATTTCAATCGGATTTACTGAAATTGTTGAGAAATCCACGAATTCGTAGAATATAGAATTAACAGGTAAGTTTAAAAATAAAATAAAATGTGATATTATAATAAAATTATTTTGAAAAAAATAGAGTCGTTGCAGCGCCTTGTAGATCCGATGTTTACATAGGTAAATCTATATCTGTAGTAAATGCGCTTAGAAGATTTTTTAGCTCTTAGAGAATTGAGCTCGCAGAATTCTCTTCAACAATTGTTACTTATGTTTTTATTAGCCACAGCTGTTCAGATCATTGGTCATTGGAGACTTTACCCCTTAAAGTCGTATATTCCCTTAGCGGGGCTCCATAATACTACAGCCCGAGCCTACTTAGCGTGTATGCAAGGACGCCCGAGCCCATGTTAGAAGATGCTAGACTTGCATGCGATTCAAGCCAAATTAAGGACATGAACAAATTACTGCGCAAAGACACGATCAGGGGCGTACATTGATCCAGACTGCAAGGATTCTGCGTAGGTCATAAATGATTGTGCCACGTATGAGGGACATACACAATGATAAACAACACAAGCTATAACGTCAAAAGACTATTTACGGTCTGCGGCCCGCCGAGTGATTTGTCTATAAAATAAAATGGAATGGTGGCACAACACAAAGATCTGCACTGAAAATCTACAACAACAAATTGATTCGTCGGATGCAGCGCCGTGTGATGCATACAAGAAGCAAGATCGCTACGTCTTGATGATTGATGCGACATAATGCTGGCGTGCGGCCTGGCGTCAGAGTTTAATAAAGTTGAGTTTTAGAGTTTAAACATGTTTTAAGAGTTATTGTAATAATCGTTGATATGCAGATTATTAATGATTTTGTAAGACGTGTATTGAAGCGTGTCTTTATTGATGCCACTTTTGAAACGGAAGAGCGCTTGTCCAGTGTGACCGTCTCTAACGAACATACGTACATTCAATATGAGCTTATACATTATTAACACTTACTACCTAATTATGAGAATACTGCATTCTCACTATTATTACACGCTTTCTTTTTTTTTTTTTCATTTAACAACTTTAATCTTTTAGTTCTTCCTGATCGTGATACTGTTGGTTCTACCTCTTCTTCTGAACTGAAACTTCCAGGGGTTTCTTAGTCCACTGAGGTATCAATGATACTTAAATTTACAAAGGTGCTATTACTTAAGGATCTATGTTTTCTTCTATGTTAACATTGTCAGTTTGATTTAGATCAAAATTTTCAGTTTCTTCGACTACTGGTTCTTCGCTTATATTAACAGTCTCTTCATTGCTTTTTTCAGTTTCTTCTGGTTCGTTTTCTTTTAAGTTAACAGTTCCATTTTCACTTAAATTAACAATTTCATTGTCATACATATTAACAGTTTCATTATCATACATATTAACAGTTTCATTATTATAATAAATATTATTGCCGTTTTGTGTCTTATTAATGAGTCTTCTATTTCTTCTAAAAAAATTATTGAAGTAATCTTTTATAATGTACGATCTTCCATTTACTTTTTGTTTTATGATTTCATATTCCCATTCATTGGCATTTTTTCTAAATTGGACTTTATCTCCTATATTTAATGGACGCAGAGTTTTTGAGTCCATATTATAATAGGCCTTTTGTTTCGCCGTTTTATGACCGAATCTTTTAATAATCTTTTCCTCCTCAATGTGATTTCTCAACAGCTCCGATTTCTTAATTGGCATTTTTGTCTTACACATTCGTCCAAAGAACAGTTCGCATGGAGCAAGACCTAAACTAGCTACGGGAGTAGCATTGTACTCAAGGATTCTATACTGGTAATCAGTTGCTTTAGAGCAACGTTTTAAAATATTTTTCGCAATCGCCACCCCTTTTTCTGCTAGTCCGTTGCTTTGTGGGTACCTAGGACTCGAAAACTGCAATAATGTATTACATTCATTAGCAAAGTTTCTAAACGAAAATGAATTAAAGGGATTGTTATCACATTTGAGCTTTGATGGGTACCCATAATTATCAAATTTTTTTCTTAGTTCTTCAATGACATTTGCAACTGATTTCCCTTTTAGCCGACTAACAATCAAGAAATTAGAATATGCATCAAAGATTGACAAAAAATTGTTTCCCCTGTAATCAAAAATATCCATTCCTGCCATATGAAATGGATATTCTGGTGTTTCATCATCTATTAGCGGTTCCTTTTGATTGTTTCTTCTGAACTTTTCACATACGTCGCAAGAGTGCACCAATTCCTTAATTTGTACGCTCATGTCTGGCCAGTAGTAAAGTTTTCGTGCTCGAGCTAAGGTTTTCTCCACACCTAAATGGGACTCATGAACTTGGTTTGAGATTGATTTCTGTAACTTGGACGGGATCACCAGCCTACCAGCACGAAATAGAAGACCGTTTTCAAAGTGTAATTCCGATTTGAATTTATAGAAGTTTTGACAAAATTGGTTTAACTTATGGAATGATGGATGATGGATCCAATAATTTTCATCGTTTTCCAAAACCCTAAGATAGCATTCATAATTTTCTTGCGAGAAACAGGCTGCTTGGCTTATTATATGAATTACATTGGCCAGTTCCGGGATGTCTGATTCATCCGGTAGTTGAGCTCGAGATAAACAGTCTGCAACTAACATGTCTCTTCCAGGTTTATATTTTACGGACATTTTTGGGTATTTTAGAAGATATAGCAGCAATCGCTGTAATCGCATTGTTACTGAGTCAATGTCACGGCTTAATAAGACTTCCAGAGGCTTGTGGTCACTTTCTACTAAAAATTCTCTACCGTAGACATAGAAGTGAAACCTTTCACACGCAAAAACAATTGCTAAAAGCTCTTTTTCAATTTGAGCCCACTTTTGTTCACTCTTTGTAAGCGTACGTGACGCAAAACTGATTGGATGTCCGTTTTGTAGAATAACACAACCGAGACCGTTTTTTGAGGCATCGGTTTGAATGACAACAGGCTTAGCGCTGTCAGAAACGGCTAAAATCGGCTCACTTGTTATAGTTCTAAGCAAGTCATTGAGTTTGTTTTGATGTTGTACAGTCCACTCAAACGAAGTATCATTCCTAGTCAGATTTCTCAGGTTTGTAGTTCTAGAAGATAAGTCTGGGATAAACTTGGCTAAATATTTAAAAAGTCCAAGAATACGTAGCACTCCCGCTTTATCTTCTGGGATTTTAATATTCTGAATGGCTTCTAAATGCTTTCTTTGAGGTTTATTTGCCCTTCTGATAAAATATGACCCATAAATTCAACTTCTTGTTTCCTATATTGAACTTTGTCCGGGCTAAAACGTATTCCATTTTCTTGAGCCCGCTGAAGTACTTGTAACAACGTGTTATCATGATCTTCAAGATTTTCCCCTAATATTCCTATGTCATCAAAGTAAACTATTACATTTGGTATGCCTCCAAAAATTTGAACCATATTTCGTTGAAACATTTCAGGAGCGCTTTTGATTCCAAATGGAACCCGGTTAAATTTAAATCTCCCGAATGGAGTCATGAATGTCGTTAAACCTGAACTAGCTTCATCCAGCTCCATTTGCCAGAATCCATGGGACAGATCCAGGATAGTAAAAACCTTTTTCCGAGTTAATTGTATCATAAAATCATATATTGTTGGTATAAGGTAATGTTCTCTTTTAATTGCGTTATTTAACGGCTTAGGGTCTAAACAAAGTCTGAGTTTTCCGTTTGATTTTTCCACTACTTGCAAATTGTTCACCCAACTAGTAGGGTATGTTACTGGGGAGATTATCTTTTCCTTTACCATAGCATTGCTCCAATGACCCTAACAAACTTTGTGGGAACCTTTTTTTGTAATGGAGCACAGGCTGAGCACCTTCCTTCAAAATGATTGATTGTTTCTTTTGCAGCTAACCGAGTCCCTGAAATAATTGACTACATTTTTCCACAAATTCCTCCGTGGTTTGAGGTAATCTACATATTGAATCAATATTTAAATGTTTAATGAGTTTTAATTCTACAGAGGACTTAAGACCTAATAGTGGTTCACATTTCGCATCAACAACTAAAAATTCAATACATTTTGCTGTTTCTGAATTCAGATCATAACAGTTTGCTTTAACTTTTCCAAAATTATTAACTTTAACATTATTATAGTCAAAAATTAGAATGTTTTCTTTTTTAACTTCAAGTTTTAATTCTTTAACTAAATCACTTGGGATGCAGTTAACATCAGCGCCTGTGTCCACTTTAAACGTAACATTTTTTCCATTTATTTTATATGTTTTCGTCCATCTTACTCTGTTTAGCTCGCACTCGCTTATTCTAAAATTACTTTCATTAATGTAAGCCTCTGATTTAAATACTTTTTCCTTACTTTTACCTGATTCTATCCAATTAATAACTGCTCCGGCTGTTTGCTTGCGATCCACATCTATCTGCTTGTTTTTGTAGTTGTTGTTATCCACTCGTTTGTTGCTGATGTTGTTGTTATCCACTCGTCTATTGCTGCTGTTGTAGTTGTTGTTATCTTGTTGTACTGTATATTTCCGTGACCTTTGATCCAGCCAACCATAAGAATATGGCAATCTTTTTGGCTTCTGGCTCTGAGTCTTTGCCTGACGTCATCATGTACATGATAAACGACCTCTTCCATTTTGGCCACTCATATTGTAGAACTTGTAGAACTCGCTCCATTTTGTTCCTTTTTAGTTTGCAATTGATATTTTCACTTCTGACACCATGTAATAATCGTTGATATGCAGATTATTAATGATTTTGTAAGACGTGTATTGAAGCGTGTCTTTATTGATGCCACTTTTGAAAACGGAAGAGCGCTTGTCCAGTGTGACCGTCTCTAACGAACATACGTACATTCAATATGAGCTTATACATTATTAACACTTACTACCTAATTATGAGAATACTGCATTCTCACTATTATTACAGTTATGCGATAAGAAACCGTCAGCACGGGGTAAGTTGTCAAGAGTCAGCTGCTACTGTTCACAGCAGAATGGGTAATTTCCCAGTTTTACTATAAATCTAAACCTGTAATGCAATAATTCACTAATAACACCCTGCCATCTACGCCGCGCTAGCAGCACCACGTTAATGTTACCAAACAAAAAGTTAAACTGAAATCAGCCTCATGTTCGCTATAGCTTCGAGAAGAAAGCGCATATTCAAAAACCAAATCTAGGCCTTTTTTATTATCAAATAATAGGGAGGGGCGAAGTGGTGGGCAAAATAGGATCCCCCGAAACATTGGTGACCCCGATGTGATAACTTTCTAGTGTCACACACTTCCAATACTTAGGCGTTGTATAGGGGAATGTGTGAGTTGCTGTTGGCTTGTCAGGAATAAGGCGAATAGATAGAGCGACATACGGTGAATAATTACACTAACTCATATTATTAATTATAGTTTTCTTAATGATAAACAAATGGATTACAAAATATGAATAGATATATACAGCTTATGAAATTTGTACGTTGCAATGTGTCGTTCTCGCGGAGCTGACGATGCTCGTGTCGATCTCGTTCCACAATTACTCGCCAACTGGCTTCGGAGTTGCCACACAGTTGCTGTTCAATGCTTCTCCATCGGAACTGGATCGTAACAGCTCGGCCAATCCCGCATTCGGATCGTCCTCGATTCGATCATTATCATAGTCGGGAACATCCAGCTCAGGGATGTTGGAGCACCACGGCTTGATTTTGTCGGAGGAATAGACAGAACAGTATTTACGTCCTGTAATCTGAATACCTGGGATGTCTTCGATTACATAACGATCATTTCCAAGGACCTTGACGACGATATAGGATCCTCGGTAACTTGGTTCGAGCTTTCGCGACTCGCCTGTATCAGCTGGTTCGTTTTCAACGACTACAAGATTAACTGTGGAGTAGATAGAAGGGTTAGCGCGTTTCGTGTCAAACCGTTATTTCCATTTAGCTCGCTCGCTTGCAATATTGACGAGCGATTGGTTTCTGTTGTCGATGACAGATTCTTTCTCGTCTTTTTTTAAATCGGCGTGTATAGCTGCCGTGAGATGATTCTGGACGAGAGTTTACACTCCACTGAAGATTGTGTAAAGTAAGTATATGGGTATTTCCGCGTTTGCTTCGAACAAACCGTCCCAGATGATCAATGTGTACCCTGCGAAATGGTACTGGATCGGTGTCATTATAATGCATGCAACCTTCGGCTTTGCCTCCTTTGGATATGTAGTAGCAGCATTGAATGCATGTTGAGATATATTCTTTCACGTATTTCCGCATTTTTGGGAACCAGAATTTTTGTTGAATTCGTCCGATTGCCTTGTCATGACCGAAATGTCCAAAATCATCATGACACGTCTTAACAATGCGCCACCTCACGTTCTTTGGTACAACGAAAGCTGTTCCTTTTTCGACCTATCTACTTTCAGCGTCAGTACAGTGCCTACTAAAATAGCACCAAGGTCGCCAATTCGTTTTGTCTCGACGCAAAGACGATGTTCACCATTCTGTTTTTTAACGACGACAATTCCAGATGCATAAGGAGAGTCTGAAGGACAAATGACATCACTATCGAGAAACTCGTAGATAATATTACCGACGACAGGTCTAAGTGCAAAAGGCGTACGGTAGGGCTTAGTGTAGCACGGAACGTTTGATGTTAAAGTTATTTCCATTTTGGTTAGAGAACATTTGCCGAGCTCGTTAGCTTTCTCCGCAAAGCAAGAAGCGTTTTCCAATATCAATCCGTTTATGAGTTCATTCTCAACTGAGGAACGCTCTTGGCTCGTTTGAATTTTTCGAATGTTCTCTACGTAACACTCGTTACCGAGGATGATCAATTTGTTTCCATCGCGACAAAGGATATCCTTACCCAAAAGTACATTTTCGGTTATTAGTTTATCTTCTACGACCAAAACTTCAACTTCGTAATCAGAATCGTCAATCACAATTTTCACGAAAAGTTTCTGTGTGCAAGGGAATTTCCCACCACCAAATCCGTTCAGAGTAACAGCACATCGTTGTAAAACACCTACGTTTTCGGCGAATGACTTACGAATTAGCGTTCGCGTACTGCCTGGATCTACGAATGCGACGGTTTCATTGCCGTTTGCCGAGATCAATTTGGAGATTTCCGAATCAGAATCAGAGTCAATTTTATTAATTTTTGGACCTGTTTTTGTGTTATCGGGGCACCTGGCAGAATCGTGTGTTGTGCGATTGCAGTGCGTGCAACGAGGCTTGCGCTGGGGCTCAGGACATTTCGACGAATAATGTCCAACCTTCTGACAATTGTAGCATTTAACCGATACTTCGACTTTATCGTTAAAAGGACGTCTTGTAACCCAGGATGAATTCGGCTTATGAAGGCTGACGTTAAGATCCCGTTTGTTTAACATTTGACTGGCGTTATGCTTTATAATATTATGCGCTGAGTATGCCAGAATATCGCGTAGAAGTTCGTTACACGAAACATAACTGTTGGATACCTTTCTCTTTAAATAGTAGTCGTTAATCCCGTTGATAATGTGTGTGCAAATTGCTGAATCTGGTAGCTCACCCTTTTTACCTAAGGCTAGCTTCTTGTAGAAATAATCTGACGGTGACTCGGTGGAATCTCTATGCGTTTTTGACATCTTAAGGTGAACGACTGCCGGATTGCTAAAACATGGAAAGTCATTTAAAAATCTTGCAGTAAATTGGGGCCATGTTTAAAATATTTGATCCGTAGAGTCTACCCAATAACGAGCAGCACCCAGTATCTTTTGTTGGACTGCAAATATTACCTTACGATCATCCCAACGATAAACGTTACGAAGGGAGTTAACACGCTTTACAAATTGATGTGAGTTCAAGGATTTACCAGACGATGGGTTAAATTCCGGAAGCAGCGCGACAATATCACTGATGTTTCCATAGGAGGGACTCAGGTTTTCATTGCCAGTAGGGATCCTGTTATCCAAGTAGCCAGCACGAGCATACGGATACTCGTTATACATCGGTTGATGTTTTGGGAAAGTACTGTATAGATGAAAATCGTTTCCTGAAGTTACAAAATTTCCAAAGTTTGAGTAAGTAACCGGGGTGTTTACGTTTGGCTGTGATGTAGTACAGTCTGCAAATTTCTGTGACGTAGAAAAGTGCACGGTGTATGGCTGAGTCGGGTGGATAACATTTCGCTGTGACGTAGCAAAGTGCATGTTGTGTAGTTGAGTTGGGTAGATATCGTTCTGCTGTGACGTAGCAAAGAGCATGTTGTGTGGTTGAGTTGGGTAGTTATCGTTCTGCTGTGATTGAGACGTTGCCAAGTTTACGTTTGGGACATTCGTTAATTTTTGCACATGCATCTCGCTGGATCGTAGGTCGATTTCTTGTGGTTTCCATTTTCATCATGCCTCTGACTCGTTGTATAGCTACCGTTGGCTGGTTGAACTTCGTTTACTGTTGCAGATTTTTCGATTGGGGATAATATTACGGAGGGGTGAAAAGATCTATCCTGAAGCTCTCGGACCGTTTTCTCTAGCTCCACAACCTTCTTTTGAAGTGATTGGTTTTCTGCACTTATGTATTCATCGTCGCTGTTTTGGGAGTTCAATCTTTTTAGCATGTCTTTGCGATTTCTCGATGTCCAGAATCCTGCTTCTCTGCACTTATATTGTAGGGCTTTCTTAGTCAAATAGTTCTTTCCCGGCATAGTGTATTAATTTCGCTTTACGTTGGCCCATTAAATTTTGCTCGATTTCACTTATTGCGCACTATCCCACTTCTGAGAATGTCACACACTTCCAATACTTAGGCGTTGTATAGGGGAATGTGTGAGTTGCTGTTGGTTTGTCAGGAATAAGGCGAATAGATAGCGCGACTTACGGTGAATAATTACACTAACTCATATTATTAATTATAGTTTTTTTAATGATAAACAAATGGATTACAAAATATGAATATATAGCTAATGAAATTTTTACGTTCCGATGTGTCGTTCTCGCGGAGCTGACGTTGCTCGTCTCGATCTCGTTCCACAATTTTTCGCCAACTGGCTTCGGAGTTGCCACAAAGTTGCTGTTCAATGCTTCTCTATCGGAACTGAATCGTGACACTAGGGTGATGCATTTTCGGCGCAAATTTTTTCATATTCGGCCAACGCATATTTGATATCGAGTTGGCGTCCTATGCATTCGCAGATTGCAAACAGATTCTATATTCCAATTCGCGTTATTTTGCAAATCAGCTAACATAACCGAAACCGTGCTCCACATATCGGGTTAGGCACAATTTTCGCATAGGCAAGGCAGCCTCGGTGAACTGCATATAAACATGCTTACATGCTTATTCCATGACTGTGGATACATTTATAATGGGGAGAGAGGGGATATAAGATAGATCCGTAAGCTCCCGCAGTACTGCTGCAAAGCATTGCTTCGCAGGGGCGACGGTTCCTCTTATAGTCGATCTTCTGTCCTATTTTAACGAATGAATTTAGAACGACTGGCGCAAAGTTGCTCACAGCCGTCCATTTATGCTCGCAGAGGAGCATCAAGCACCACTGTAATGGCCTATATAAGGACGGATTGCAGGGAGCTTGCCTGGTTTTGGGAGACATCCTTATTTTAAGGATAGGCCTTCTCTGAGGTACCTATCAAAGAGCAAACAAATAAGTTCGGAGACACAAAGACAGCTTATAAGTTTTGTTTCGAACGCAGTCTGAGCCTGAAGCTTTCCCAATCTTCACTGTGTTGAGTTGATTACAATCGCTGTCGCCTCCTCGAAGCCCTTCAGGGAGTAATTATTCACCCTCTGCCTCTCTTATGAGGCAAAAGGTTCGAGCAATGCTCTTCCTCTCGTGATGTTACTCACGCTTCCCCAGTCAACAGCGTTGAAGTGTTCTGCAAGCAGGACTGGCGGTCTGCACTTGATGTCACAAATGATCA